ATGATTAAAGCTTTTGTATTGAAGAGGCCGTACTATATAACAATCTTCATTTCTCATAGATATGAACAATTTTTTTTTTAATTAGCATGGAATGGTTATTGTCGAGGGCAAAGTAATTAATCATCATCAAGCCTCCTCCATGAAAGTGTGTTCGATGATCCCGGTATAATTTTAGCTGTATTCACCATGTTTGGTTTTGTTTAAGAATGTTAATAAAACTTCAAAAATACAGCATCTCACTTATATTGTTGTTCTATTATTTGAAAGGTACCATGTCATGGTATATGTATTATTAAAACAAACATTAATTTTATCTCATGCATATAATATCTTGATTCTCCTACCAAATTTAGGAGAGTATTTTAATTTTCATGGATCAGTCTTGCTTGACTTATTTTTATTTTTGAATCATGCTTCGAACGCATGAAATTTATATAATGCGTTCATTTTTACAGCACTGGGTCATACAACAAACGTTTCTTTAATTTATCCGTTTATAAATTTATAAATTATTAAGAAACAACTAAGGTTTCAACTTTCTTTGTAAAAATTGACCAAAGATGAATTTATCTATTATGTTATGTCCTTTTTGGTCATATAGCTGTACAACTTATACATCATTTGGCTTTTAAATATTCATGTATGAGCGTTCCTGAACAAGGAAAATCTAGAAAAGCTCTTCTGAGGCATGACATTTATAAAGTGTTGTTTTAATTTTTAAATAATTTAATGGTATACTATAAGTCATTACAGCTAAAAACTATGCAGCCCCAATGTGTTAAAGACGAACCACTACATGATCATTAAATCAGTGACCTGTATTCATTACCTTCATTAGATTGACAAATCACCTGTGTTCCAACCTTTTTGGTTGTATAGCTCTTCAACTGATTAGGTTCTTATACATCCTTGGCTTTCAAATATTCGGCTTTGAGCGTTCCTGATGAAGGTAAATCCAGAAAAGCGCTTCGGACGCATGAAGTTTATAACGTAATGTTTTCATTTTTTTTCCAATATATTTTGTACTGCAGTCAACAACTTTGAAATTAAACTCTCTATCATTTAATTCCTAGTAAAAAAAAAGTCCGAGAAAAGCTAGCACTTATGAATTATACAAAATGAACAACAAACCATGCTCATACATTTCTTATTATCCCTTTCACAAATTCATCACACTATGTCGTTAACTTTTCACTTTCATCCTGTACATGTAACGAAAATTTATTTATTCGGTTTGATATATAAATGCAAATGAAGAAAATGTAATTTATAAAAGCTACATATTATACTGTTCAACGTTCAAAGATAATATCAGCTGTTACTTTACATTACATCCATATCATATTGTATTTTTTCACTTTATGTAACATACATACTAGTATATATGTAAAAAAAAATACTGTAAATCAATTTGCATGTTGTTGGGTTTTTTTTACATTTTCAGTCGAAATATGATATATTTGTTTAATTTGATGAAAAATTGGAATCTGTATAAAAGACTACGAAATACATTTATAGGTTATTTAAAAAACAATTAATTTTAATTTGCTAACCCTACTAATTGTATTGGCTATTGTGAATTGTTATGACGACAATTGATAAAAATGCTAAATAAATCATAGTCATCTCGCTTTTCCTTTATAAATGTTTCATCTCTGTTAAATTCACCTTTATTGTATGCAAATTCATCATTTCATTAATACATTTGCTTTCATTTGTTTGTAAGATTTTGGTGTCTATGTTTACGTAAACGATGTACACACAATTCAATCGTGTATCGATGAATGGTTTCGCAAACGATTTATTTGTGTCATAATCAGTCGTTTTATACCTTTAAATGGTAACGCTTATGTTATCGAAGATAGCTCAGTGATAAAGTTTATGCTGTCTCTTAGAAAGTGTTATGGACGACACCAGGATTTTGAAGACCAAATGGCAAATCAATAGTCGATTCCATATAATCTCGTTCGATTTTCAACTTTAAATGATTGAAACTTATCAACGAATTGTTCTTTTCCTGAGCAAAACGAAGGGTGTCATTAGTGGCGAAGGAACAGTAACTGCAAACCTGTATGGAGCACCTGGGCTTCTTTCCCTATTTTTGTAGGATTTGTGTTACTCATAGTTTCCATATGGTGTTTTGTGGACTGTTGTGTGTCTACTTGTCCTTTATTTTCCTTTGTACGTAATGTTATCTATCACTCATTTTGTTTTGGTTTTTAGGTTGTCCTCTTGATATCTTTTTACTTTTTTCGGTAATTTTGTAAAGTGTCGAAAATGATATCATACCTTTTCCTCTAGCTGTTGCACCAATTTCACATCAGTTTTATTACCAAATATTTCTCTTCGATATCACAGGATGTATCTAAAATGAGCTCCGAACGTAGCAATGTTCGTTATGATTCAACTTTTAGATGGTACCAATTCTGTCGACTTGTTATTCATCTAAGGTATCATTTCCAAACAGTGCTTTTGTAATGATCATAAAAAATAAAAACAACACGTTATCAATTTCATGCGTCCTAAGCGCTTTTCTGGATTTACTTTCATCGGTAACACTCACAGCCGAATATTTGAAAGCCAAGGATGTATAAGAACCGAAACATTTGAAGAGCTATATAACCAAAAAGGACATAAAAAATAGCAAAATCCATCTAAGGTCAACTTTGCCTGAGGGAGTTGGAACCTTTATAATTTCAAAATTTATGAACGGACTATTTTAGAAAGGTTTGTTATAAATCCTGTTGTATCGAAGTACTGACTACTGAACTGATGACACACCCAATAGTCCACCAGAAAAGCTATCGAACAAGTGCTTTAAAAATGAAAACAACACGTTAATAATTTCATGCGTCCGAAGCGCTTTCCTGGACGCTTTTCAAGAGTTATTGCATACATTTTTCAATCATTGCTTAAACGTTTTCACTTAAACCAAGCTTTTTAATTACCTCTCGAATATTTGAAAGCCAAGGATGTATAAGAACCGAAACATTTGAAGAGCTATATAACCAAAAAGGACATAAAAAATAGCAAAATCCATCTAAGGTCAACTTTGCCTGAGGGAGTTGGAACCTTTATAATTTCAAAATTTATGAACGGACTATTTTAGAAAGGTTTGTTATAAATCCTGTTGTATCGAAGTACTGACTACTGAACTGATGACACACCCAATAGTCCACCAGAAAAGCTATCGAACAAGTGCTTTAAAAATGAAAACAACACGTTAATAATTTCATGCGTCCGAAGCGCTTTCCTGGACGCTTTTCAAGAGTTATTGCATACATTTTTCAATCATTGCTTAAAACGTTTTCACTTAAACCAAGCTTTTTAATTACCTCTCGCAATCTGACCTTCGGAGATGTCAGCTATTCATTTTTAGTCTCTTAAGGTTATCAAGATTCCAATACATTTATGCATCAATGGATTTCCTTACGCCTTGTCCTCAACCGTTATGTTTTTCATAAATAAAAGCAGCTCTTCGAACAATGAAATTTCTGTTTTAGTTTAATCCGATGACTAAACAATTTTAAAATTCTCCGGCGGATTCAGCTTGATACGACAACAGAGGTCGAACCCTGAACAGTAGGGGCACGCAAGTATGGACACTATATTCAAACATGATACAGCTCTGAATTTGGATTGTAATTAGATATTTGACACATCATAGGCTTCTGAAACCGAATGAATTTGGTCAAAGAACTGAACATTTTTAAATTGGACTTTTACCTATTATGGTCCAATATCCAAAATCTTAGATTCAGCATATCAAAGAACCCCATGTATTCAATTTTTGTTGAAATCAAACAAAGTTCAATTGTGGACCCCAATTTGGACCAACTTGAAAACTGGACCCAAAATCTAAAATCTTACTGCATATTTAGATTTAGCATATCAAAGAACCCTTGAATTCAATTTTTTGTTAAAATCAAACACAGTTTAATTTTGACCCTTTGGACTGTAATGTAGACCAATTTGAAAAGTGGTCCCAAAAACAAAAATCTAAATACACAGTTAGATTCAGCATATCAAAGAACCCCAAGTATTCGGTTTTTTTTTTAAATCAAACAAAGTTTAATTTTTTTATGCTTTGGACCTTAATGTGGACCAATTTGAAGACAGGTCTCAAAAGATTAAAAATCTAAATACACAGCTAGATTCCGCATATCAAAGACAACCAATAATTCAATTTGATGAAATCAAACAAATTTTAATTTTGGACCTTTTAGACCATTATATGGACCAATTCAAAAACAGGGCCCAAAATCCAATTTCTAAATACACGGTAAGATTCAGCATATTAAAGAACCCCAAGAATTCAAGACTTTTAATTAAACCTCATTGAAATTGGTAGATATCGACCACGCGCAATTGGATTTTTTGTCTAGATCTGTTTGATTTCATATTGTAGGTTAAAAAGATGTTTATCATCGTTTTTACCTGTATAAGAATGATTGTTTGTGGATCGAATCAGTTAACCAAATAATTCATCCTTGTTTCACTTTGAATGTTAACATTCTTTTCCTTTTAAAAGCTGAATACATGTGTAACCCATCTCCAGCTAAGGGGTTTAATTGAAGGTCACACGAATACGGATTTAATGAGGTCAAATTATCCACTTGCAAGTAAATAATTCATCAGCAATGTTTCTTAGCGTATTTCGACAAAATTGAGCCAAACTGGCTGCTAAAAGCGAACTATTATTTCACTATTTCACTTTCATTAATGATTGAACAAAAAGAAAACTATGCTTTATTTTTTTCATATCTCCTAGCTAATCTTGCCCCTTTAAGAAGCAAACAATTCTATATCTTTTTCATCTGTCTCCTCATTGTAGCGAACAGGTTTTGCTCCATCAGAGGAAGGTATCAAATAGCTACTTTCATTTCAAGTCATTTTTGGAAAGAGCTATTTTTAAAATATAGAGTAATCACAGAAAGGATCTGTGCTTAACAGCAAAATTCATTATATATTGAGAAGCACTAATGCATAGATAAAGTCAGTTTAGAAAGATACATTTTATTAAAAGAACGTTTGAAAATATGCAAGATATCTTTCTCCTACATCTTTTATTACATCACTAAAATAAAATATATCGTAAAAGTCAACATTTTAAAACAAAAAAAAATGTTTTTCATATATTACAACTGACATTTAATATGATACCAAAGTTAATCTTGGTATGGTTTAATAGCTAAAACTAAATATTTCATAAATATACAAATGGTAGTCTAAATGTTCTATTATTTAATGCAAAAATTAAAAGTTTTCTTGTATAAGTCTATAAATAATGATAAATATGGATAAAAGTTCTTATGCAGTGTGTGTGTAAGCGATGCTTCCCTAAAACAGATATTTTTACGAAATCCTGTAATTGAAAACAAATACAGATAAAATCTTCAATAATATTTGAATAAAATATGAGAAATACCAACTCCTCAATATTGTGTACATCTTATGTATGTTCAGACAGCGCTATTGTTCTGTAAAACCATAATGGCAATTCCTCATTGTAGCCCAATGAATAAAATAATAATGACTAAAATGTCCTGTTGTCGAGTAAATAAAACGGGTGTAAAATCTTTCTTATTGGTCATTATAAACCCTTGAAATATTTTATGCATACCACGCAATAACACTGACCACATATATAGATGTATGCATCTATGAACTGACCAAAAATGTAAAAATGCAATAAATATAAGAATATCAAATATACACATACTAACAATAAATATATACCTTATTTGTAAATTTTACAATTCTTGATCAATTCAAAGGAAGAAACGTACTTCAAAATTGTCTCATTAAAAAGCAAGAAATGGATATCACCCGTAATGAAATGTAACAAAATTATTTTTATAAGATATTTAGTGAAAAAAGTGGTCCAACTAAAAAGTGATACATGGCAATGATGCAAGTATCTAATTCATAATATGATATACTAATGCACAGTCTAGAAAGAGTTCATAATATATTTGATAGTAACCAATATCCAGTCAATTTAATGACATGATAAACTTGAAATCAGAATTTGAAGACAGTGATTAATTTGTAGATCACAAACATACATTTTTTCAGATTATACTATCAATAAAATATACGGTACTTGTGTTTTACACAATTATCATTTATCTAAAAAAAATAACTAAAGATAGCAGGCTTATAATTAGGTATGTCTGACGCGCGTTACGCCTACACAAGACTAATCATATGCGGTCTATTCAAAATGGTTGGCAGCCCAAATCAAACAGTGGTGTTGAAGAGCCTTAAAAACCACAAATTTTGCAAAATACGGCTAACGCAGTCTATGCCTAGATAGGTAATCCTAAAAGCAGTTACACATTAATCGCTATACATACAGCTACTCACCTATTCAGTATTGGCTTTTGAATGTTTTGGTTTGAACGTTCGTGGTAAAGCCAGAAAAACACTTTGGACATACCAACATTAAAGTGTTGTTTCCGTTTTTCAGTAATGTTAACAATTTAACTTTTTACCAAACAGCAAAAAAAAGGTAGTTTTTAAATGAGTTACAATTTCCGAAACAAGCACTAGTAATTCAATGCAATGGTTATGATATTGTAGTGTTTTATGTGACTTACATTGAGATTTTAAAAGTCGAAAGAACCAAACTATGTCTATTGTACCTATTAAATAGCCTTTTATAGTTGAGGTTAAATAAATAAAGCCTTAACATGGTTGACTTAGAAAGTATAGATTTGTTTACGTTATCCATAACTATTGAATAATGCATGTTTTGTTATCAATTTTCTTCCATTATATACAGATTTTCATTTCACATTAGAATAAGCAAATGAACATGGTTTATATATAAAATTGAAAAGAAAAATTGTAATGAATTATCATTCATTATCAACTATGATGATGTAAATATATAGAAATAAACCATAATTTTTTGTCCTTATAAATAAAAAAGGAGCTTTGGAAAAGGAAACAATAAAACACATTTATACAAATGAAATCATCCTTTCAGACAAATATATATAACATATTATTCATATTCAACATTATATCTACATGCATAAAACTAATCTCACTCACATGTTATCCCTCCTATTATCATACAATATCTAAATAAAATAGATACATTCATACCTCAATTCTTGCACAAAATACAGGCATTTGTTTACAATCAAATATTTAAATTCATATTGCAGTTTTAGTTGAACGAAGGTAAACTGCTTATATGTATTCACATAAAGTGTTATTAGAATTTACAATAAACGAAGAGCATTATAAATCAAAAACTGATATATCTTGATAAGAATTCAAAATATACGATTTAAGAATATGAAATGGAATGAACTGATACAAACATTATGGTTCAAAATAATATTGGCATTACAATCATGATGTTGAAAGCTCATGTTAAATTATAAGCAACAAACATGAACATCATTTGGTATTTGTTGCATTGCACGGAAAAAAATTGCAAAATATGAAATAATGCTTACTAAAATTGCAACAAAGCATATAAATGCAGTATATTTTAGTCTGATATAATCTTTCTTATTCTGTAGTTTACAGCACCTTCTTGTATTTTGGAACATACACGTTTCTGTATTGTGAATGGAACCCCATTTATGAAACTGACTACATGTATTGCAAACGCCTTACAGATATAACGAGTTGTCTTCAATAACTATGGTGACCTACCCCCTTAATTGAACAATTGTATATAAGACAATCACTTCAATTCACAATATATAATATTCATCAGATGCCACTACTTTAATCATGCAAGAGAGGAAAAAACTTTCATGAAAAATTGAATATTGCAAATTAAGTCTTGTTGACGTAATTTGATTGAATGTATGATTGTAACACATGTAGTAAACGTGAACTTATATAAATATAGTTTTTAGAAAATAAAGCACGTATAAAAAAGACAAGCTATTCTCCATATAGACCACATTCTACTGAAAACTGGATTAATAAAGAAACAATAATAATTGAAAAATATCAGTAATAAAAACGTTCCTCGGGAGACAACTAACTAACGAATTTAGAACATGAAACTAAATGCATTGAAATTGTATTCTACACTGCCACTGGCTCATCTGCAGGATCGTCAGCTATGAAATTCATTTCTGTGTCGGTTGTGAATGCATTGTTACGTTTAACACAAGGTAAATGTAACGCTAAATGGAATAAAGTTCCTACTAAAAACATTCCACCTCCAAGAAAGAAAGATGCATCATAACTTCCACTTATTTGTTGTACATAGCCTGCAAAAATAATCATAATGATCAGGAACATTACAACCGACATGTTTTACCTTTTAAAAATGCAGTTATCATTGTTGTGGAAAAACAAGGGAATCTAAATCATAACTTTGCTTTATCGTGTTAAATATTACTCAGAGATAGGTAATAATTAAAAGACAATGTAAATATATATATATATATATATATAAATGTTTAATTTCTCATGCTGTTACAGGAAAGGGCAACGAAAGAAAACTTGCAATAATCATCGCAATTTCACGATCTACGCGAAAAACAGAGTGACGAGTGCTTTGTGATTGGACTAAGAAACTTGAAATATTCTACCAACCTGCCAAAGGAGGGCCGTATATACCAGCAATACCACGACATAATGTCAACAAACCAAAAGCATTGGTCAGCTTACTGAGCCCTAGCAGGTCACATAAGATTATTGATGTCAGTGAAATGTAGGCAGCTAAAAATAAAACATTAATATTTGTAGATTATTCATCCATCAAATAAAGATCATTTGTGTGTGTGTGTGTGTACTTTTGCACGTTGTTTATTTCAGTTTTTTATTCGTTTCATAATCTCATAGTAGAATCATCTATCTTACCCTATTGCCTCACCCCTAGGAATGATTGTATATATAAACACGAACAAGCTACCAGAAAAACACAAACGCGTTCCATACACCGACGTACTCTTAATAAAAATATATTTAAGGGTTTATCAAAAAAGAGTCTTCCAGTAGGAATCTGCATAGCAAATCTACACAACTGAATGTGGAACAACTGGTTGCATTAAAATAGGAGGTACACAATGGTACTAATATATATGGTTACATTGCTGAGAAAGTTTCAATAAATTGCTATAAAAAAGTAATATAACAAAAACAACAAACTCAAAGGAAAATTCATATCGGAAAGTCCCTTATTAAATGGCAAAAATCAAAAGCCCAAACACATCAAAACGAATGGAAAACAACTGTCATATTCCTGACTTGGTACAGGTATTTCCTTATGTAGAAAATGGTGGATTAAACCTGGTTTTATAGCTAGCTAAACCTCTCACTTTTATGATAGTCGCATACAATTCCATTATATTGACAACAATGTGTGAACAAAACAAATAGACATAATAGGTTAAAATGTCAAAAATAGAGGTACAGCAGTCCACATTGTGTTATAATCTTAATCACTATAAAAACAAACAATTATGTGAACAAAGAAAATCAAAATGGCATATAGACAAAGCACATAAGCAAAAATGAATACAAAAAAATGACCACAGCACAACACGTTGGCGGGATGCATTATAAGTACCGAGCCTCGCCAAAAGGATATTACCAAAAATGGACTTGACAGTAAAGGTTACTAATTTAAAAGAACACTATAACATATAAAATATTTTAGAAAAACGACGAGACGTTCTTTGACATAACCCTGGTTCATCAACTTTCAGCCCAGACACTTAAATTAAGACTTAAACAAAAACCGACAGGAAGAAATCAAAAAGTATTTCATCGCATAAAGACTTGCATAAGTCAAAATAGGAATAGACTAATTTAAGTCCGATTTCTGACTGATGTAAGTAAAATCCGTAAAATTAAAAGTTTTAATTTGGTGCATCCGAAGCACTTTTCTGGATTTCACACATCATCAGGAACACTCAAACCAAAGTATATGTAAGTATTTCAATAAGTGATGAACTATGTGACCAAAAGGGAAACAACAAGAATAGCCACATCCATCAATGGCAAACTTTGCATGAGGGAGTTTGAACCTTAGTATCTTAATAATTATAAAAAAGAAGATGTGGTATGACTGCCAATAAGACAACTCTCATAGCGACGGAGAATTTAAGATAAGTATGCTATAAATTATGTCAGTAGCGAAGTACCGACCCCTAAGCAGACGATACCCTCGGGGACTTGCAGTCCATCAGCAGCGGTATCGAAAAAGTGCTAGAAACAGGGAAAAACACATTTGGGTGCAACCGAGGCACTTTTCTGGATTTGTAATTTATAAGGATGTATAAGTACTTAAATACGTGAGAAGAAATATGGCAAACAGAAACTTAAAAAGAGTAGCTAGATCCATCTTTGGTCAACTTTGCCTGATGGAGTTTGATTGGAACATAAATTCTTTCAAGTGGTTCAGAAGCAGTTTTGGATACAGAAAATTCGGGTATCATCAGTTAAAGTATTAAATACAAAATAACTTACAAACACATAATCCATACACCACAGAGAATACAATTAACAGTTCATATGTTGTACATAATGGCTGCAGAAACAGACTGATTGTACTGATAACAAGGGCCACGTTGTTGATGACAAGTGCATCGACGTTCTTCATGTCAGCCAACAGCCCTGCTAAAACTCGACCAATAGTATTGGCAATACCTGAAAATAATGTTAAACCATATCTATGGAGTAAAAGGAAAAAATGTAGTTACTTGTAAAAATAAAGAATATTTACAGTAAAACATTCGTACTGTCGAAACAGAATAAATGACAAAATGGGGATAATTCAGTGGTTGTCGTTGGTCACTGTCTTATCGTATTTGTTTATCGTTTATTGTTTTGTACAAAAACAATGTCGTTAGTTTTTTAGTTTTAATTGTATTACATTTTGCCATTTCTGGCTGACCTTTTACAGCTTACTTTACGGTATAGGTTTTGCTCATTGATGAAGGTCGTGTGGTGACCTATAGTTGCTACCATCTACGTCATTTGGTCTCTGATGGATAATTGTATCATTGGCAATCAAACCCCATCTTCTTATTTTTATATTAATGTTACAAGATATTCTATAACAAAAATGTGTTAGCAAAATAAAAAAAATATCCATGTGCTATTTCTTACATATTGATAAAATGGTTGTGTTTGTCTTCAAATAATTTTAAAACTGAATGTTTGAGAGACTTTGTGTTAATGGATTTATATTTAATTTATATTGTGTGATGGTTATTATTTAATTCAATACATGTAAGTGCATGTTCATCATTCTTTTCTTTATATAACGTGACTTGAGTGGAATAAAATATATGTGCATGTCAATCTGTGCCTAAAAAAATCTATACCCGCTAACCCGAAAGCTCATTTCAAGTAAACACTCTTTATAAGTCTAACTACTATTTTAATTATTTTCGATTATGTAATTTACATACTCATCTTTTGGGCTTTGTTAGGAGTTGTCTTATTGTCATCATACCACATCTTTTTTTTATTAATTTGATAGTTACTGAGAACGGTTATAACTGGTAGCCGTTATATTCTGCATACTTACCGATAACTGAAAGTAGAAAAGCTGCGTCTGTACTGGTGACTCCTAAAAGTACAGCCCGGTCAACAAGGAATGTGAAAGGAACATAAAATCCTGACATGGCAAATAAGTTCCCTAGACACAACAAAGCAAAGTTTAAATCTAACAATAAAGAAAAGTCTAACATTTCTTTTAACGTGTCTACGACGGATTTTGGCAAACATGTACAGTTATCCCATACTGATGATTTTGGAACCTCTGACACACCTGGAATTGATGTAATACTGGTTACATAGCTATCCATATTGGGTTGAGAACGGAATTGTGGGATATGGACGATACTTCCGCTGTAAAATATGTCTTTTTTATACAATGGTCTAGCAAAGTCGTCTTTATGAGCAACAATATCTCGGTATGATCCTACCCTCATTTGTGAACCAGCAGGTGGGTGAAGTTTAGGCTTTTTCACCTCCTTTACTTTTGTATAGCCATTTTCTATCAATGGTTGAACTTCGTAAGCAGCAATTGCTATTCCATTGGATGGCCGATTTACTTTTATATCTGGTTGCGATTTATCTGTTTTATCGTCGACAGAAACTGTCACCTTCTTATCTGTATTAGAAGACTGCGATCTGATGGACGATCTGATGGACAAGTCTGTATTTGTTACAGACTCATTGGGAGTCACTATGATTTTCGGAGTGCCGGTGGGACTACCAGGATTGCTTTCTGGATTTCCCTTGACAAAATATTCACTTGGAACTGACCAAATGTCTGAATCCTCTTCGTTCAACTTATTTTCTCTCATAAGTTTTGCCTCCCTCAATTTGGCAAATGTTTTGAGGTCTTGAACACTAGACTCCGACTCCGTTGTGATTCTCCGGTTTCTTTGAGCTTTGACTTTAAAGTGATGACGCATTTCGTCCTTGTCATCTTCGGTTATCACCTTCTTCTTTTTCTTTTTTGGCTCTAACGGTCTCATTAACATTGCACAAACGAGACAATTCAGAATAATTCCAGCTTGTAAGAACAACAAGTTTCTCCAGTCAAATATTTTCAACAAGTAATCATTTAGTGGGGAGAAAATAAAAGTACCAATACCAGAGCCACAGACTGCAATACCTGTTGCCACAGCTCTCCTCTTCTCAAAATAGTAACCAACACTTACGATAGATGGTAAATATATCATACCAAAACCAAGACCTGAAAATGGCAAATCAAATAAGCATAATTAATCTTACAGACATCACATTTTGAACGACAGTTTAAGGCATTTGGCTAGTATTGAAATACAATAGCGAAAACAATTAAACAATAACCGGTACAATATAGTTGATCTGAAGGTGACAATTATAAATATGAATATAGATATCATATTCATGGTCAAAATGTGTCCATTGTCCTTTTCCAACTTTAAAACGGAGAATATAGTTCCATATTGAATAAGATCAAAACAATTTTTGAAGTATTACAATCTTTTACTTTGACAGTGAACTGCATGATATAGATTTATGTATTGAATAAAAAAATAATTGTTTCTGCATCTAAACAATCAAAAACACTTCTGTATTCAAATTAAAACAATCTTATAGTTATAATGACTGGCGGTAATCAGTATTCTGTAATGATGATAAATTAATAAAATAGCCAGTATTTACCTCCAAAAACCCCATAAAATAATATAAGTAAATCTAGGTTTGGAGCAAATGATCCCAACAGGAATCCTGCACATGCGACAATACTTCCTGTAAAAGCGACTGCTCGACATCCAAATTTATTGACAAGCCCGCTCACTATCGGTCCTGTAAAACAGAAAAGAAATTAGAGACTCCCAGAATTGTTTATCGCTCAATCTGCTTGAGCATTATTGACTATTGTATGCTACTGACATAATATTCATAGCAAATACCTCATAAGGACCTATGCGATACCATAGCTTCCTTTAATTCGGCAGTGTTTCTGCTAGAAATTAAGGACAGAAACTCGGTATTTTATAGAAAGGACTCTGATTTGCGGTTACCGAGCGTCACTGAGTGTTTTGTTGACGAAACGCGCGTCTGGTGTATAACATTTTAATCGTGGTATCAATGACGAGTTTATTTACTATTGTCACAAACTATATCTTTTCGTGTAACATGCTATCTTGGAAAATCGTTGACATCAGTTGAAAAATTACATGATATTTATTTACATTTTGCATATTGCCTTTTACTAGGCATCGAAAAGATGGATGGAGTAGGTACACTCTTAAGTACATTGTAACACCCAGTAAAGTTTTTAGATACAATGGAAAAGGCCGAAAAGCTTTCAAAAGAAAACGTAAAACCTACATTGCTTAAGTCAACTTTGTGAAAAAAAAAAGAATTTGTAATAGTTTTAAGTTAAAATATATAGTGTTTATAGAATGGACAAGATGTTGTTGTTTTTTCACGTTCACAGAAATTAATGTTCTTGGCTTCTCACGTCTGGTATTAAGACCCGTTCGTTTTCTGAGGAATTTCTAGATTCATAGTCATTTGAGTAATGTCTAGGTAAAATACGGACATACTTGAAATTAAGCTATGTCATTGGGTTCCTATTGTTTATGGCGTTGTACTAATAAACATAAGGTTTGAAAAATAATAACCAGAATGAATATATTCTGAAAGGGCGAATTACATAAAGGACAGTCAAGTGTGTGGAGATCTACATGTAATTTGCTTTTCACGTTATACATAGATATATTGCTTGCGTTGCTTACAACTAAATTATGGCCTCTGATTAATAGACACAAAAATGTTCACTACTGGATAAACTTTAATAACAAAATGTCTTCCTTTTTTTCATTAACCTCCTTGGCTTTGGTCTAAGATTTAGGCCTAAAATTAAGATTGACTCCATTTTTATATGAAAGACGACACGGTGCAACGGTGTTGTGCATTATGATTGAATTCCTTGGCATCACAAAACAAACTTTTGTGCATTTCAATTCACTATCAGACCGTGTTAAATATTCGGAACAGATGTACCATGAATGTATGGTCTTATATATTTGGAACAGATGTACCATGGATGTATGGTTTTATATCATAAGTAATAAATCCACTTACCTGCACACAGATAGACTCCACACAACAGGGACCCAACCAAAGCAACTTTACTGTTTGGTGCTCGGAAATATTCCGAAAATATTGGCAGCAGTACTCCAAAGGCATATCCAATACCGTCCACAATGATGTTACAAAACAAAGAAGCTAAGACTATCATCCAGCCCCATCCACCATCAGGGGGTGTCGGGATGAAATCTTCCAAATCCCCTTCATCGAGGGATTCCTCCGACTCCGTTCGCTTCACTTCAATAATTTTACCATTTTCCGTCATTTTTTCCTAAGGACTTATTCCTAGATTATAGATGAATGCCCACTGTAGAAACATTAGAAATATTTTCAGTAATATTTTATCTACGACATAAAACAATAAACAGTATTACACACCGAATAGTGTTGTTGTACCTATTTACTTTATTATATTACCATGCCAATGTGAAGGTTGCGAATAATTAAGTACAACCATCATTACGATCAAACGGTGCGTATATATATATATATATATATATATATATTCACTTGCAGTGCTTCTAGTTTTTAATCCGCTAGTAATTGAGGTTATAGCGTTGATAGTTTGAATTATTTCTACACCACGTTTAAGAATACCGTTTTTACATTTTCACCTGACTAAAAACTATCATTACTATAATGTACATCTTGAAATCCGTTCTCTCGGGAAAATTGAACGAGGAAAAAAATCACAACTGACTGAAAAAAATATTTTATTGATGTTGCTGCGGGAAACCAATCTATTATATTGGACATCTGTCGAAAATAGAAAATTATTTTTCAATATTGCCGTGAGAACAGTTTATGATAAGTAACTAAACGCGTTAGTTTATATGCTACCAATGATATTTTCAAATGAGGTGTACTAAGACGATATATCTGTGTTGATGGGCATAATAAAAAGCATTCCATCAGCGATAACATTTTAACACTATTAGCTTTAAACCAAATGTCCTTGAAGGACTAAAAATATATAAAATATAAATCTTATGTAAAATGCATTTACTATGTCACTGTCTTAGATACAAAACAATCTGTCACGTGATTTTATCATATCCCATACCTAAAATGAATCTTATTTTGGTTTGACGGTCTTCAAGTACCTTTCATTCTGAACGAATGACCGCAAAGCCTCTGAAATAGATAGCAAATGTTTACTGTCCGTGTTGTTTACGTAGTTCACCAGCAGTCAAGGCAAATACATTCATATTTTGACAGTTGGAAAGCATTAAAAGCTTCGTACACATATCAACAACAAGATAGAACGGTATACTGGTATATATTTGTTTATTCATTAGCAAACACTGACGTGTAAGAATCAAATACAATATCTTATCTCGGACTTTTGAGTTTTTGGCCTCTTTAGTCATTTGTCCTTGTGTACAAACGATGTAAAATAAAGAAACTACTCGGAAGATCTACTTGTATTAAACTAATACACTTGGACATTATCCTATTAATGTGAAGTGCTAGCTATCGAGTGGCACATTACTTCGTCGTTTAATATAATTTTGTAATAGTATGTGTCATTACTTTTATATAAATATTTTATATTCATAGTCACATATTTGGATAAGCTTTGGACTCCGCCTTCATAGTTAGCATAGTACTCTCAATCTAATCTACAATACAGGTGCAACCGATAAAATTCCCAATCGAAGAGATTGTTCTTTAGAAGTACTTTATCTGCAATATTTTATTTGAGGGGAAATGGAAACCCGAACATAAAAACAGCAACACCAAGTTCCCTAAAAGACAAAAACATTAAGATATTACAAAAGACAACTACTTCATTTGGGACTGACATATAAACATGTGACTGGGTCAATCTATATTTTCCCATCTCAACCCTGCATTTCAATGTCTATCAGTTGAATAGGGAAAGGTACATGGAAGAAATTATAACAAAAATAAGTTCAGAAAAAGCACTTAGCTCCATTATACCGATATAATAGACAACAGAACCAAAGCTACAAAAATAACACAAAAAAAACTAGGAGTACTGCAAGCAAAGCTCTCAAAATGATTCCACAGTAACTTGCAAAGTCCCATAATTTTCTAGGTGCACAATATAATTAATTTATATGGTTACGATGGTGAGAAAGTTTCAATAAGTTGTGATAGGGGGTTTAGGACGAGTCGTCGATACAAATTATGTAACCCCTAATAAAGCAACAGCAAAGTCCACACTAAGGTATGGTTCTAAAATGATTTTGATTAAAATAAAATAGAGGTGAACAATAGCATTATATGAATGGTTGAAATTGTGAGAAATATTTAAATAACTGTAACAAAGGTTTTAGGAGGAATGCAATACAAAAAATGGGTATGGGTAAACCCTTCCCTCCCCCCAACAAAATAAAGCAATGGCAAATTCAATGCTTTGGTAAGAGAAACCCCCAAAATGATTCAGATAAAAACAAAATAAGAGGTGCACATAAGCATTATATGGTTAAGATTGTGAGAAAATTTCAATAAATTGTAATAATGGGTTCAAGAGGAGACTCGGATTCAAATGTTTTCTATAGTGTGCAGATATGACAAAGTCCACGTCAAAGTGAACCCCAAAATTGTTCAGATGAAGAAATTAAATAAGAGGTACAAAAGTACATCATGTCAATACGATTCGGTAAATGTTTCGCAATATTCTGTCAAGCGGTTTGGGAGCAGTTCTGGATAACAAAACGGGACAGAAAGACGAACGAACGAACGAACGAACGAACGAATAGACGGACGTACTCCCCATCACTATATACAACCCGCTTTAGAAAGCGGAGGTATAGTAATATCTTATCAAAGAATGCTCACAGTTACTGAAAGCAATGTAACAGTACCATCAAGTCATCCTATACTCTAATATCGGTGGCAGAATAAAGGTATAATAAGAGTCTTTATCTGATCCCTCAAAATCTACTAATAGTATATAAATGTATGTAAGTTTTTCTGATGAATGAATAGTATGATTCTATTTTGGCACTTTAGAACAGAAATGTCAGTTATGATGTCATTATGACTTTTTTACACATGATTATTTTTGGCAAAATTAGACAAGGCCTTGCTATAAGAAAATTTGACCCACATTAACATCCTTGTCTTACCTAAAAATATATTTAACCCACAATAACGTCTTTGTATCAGATATCGTTTAGCAACAATTACAATCTTTTCGGGTACTACCTTCGCTCATGCATATCTGAATATTAATAACAAGGTCACAAAATGAGGTCATGTTGGCATTTTTTGCAGTATACAGCCCCAAAGAATGTGCAATAGTTCAAAAATATAAATACTGATATTTGAAAGATGCATTGTCTTGTGAACATCCAAAGGATGTAATTTGATAGATGTAAAATTCCTTTTGATTTTCGAAATAAAGAATTTTACATTCAACAGAATTTCGATATAGTAACAAAAGAATAAAAATTTCAATCTTGTTTCAAACCAAGAATTAGCGGGTTGGTATTAATCCCCAAAATACTATATAGACGCAATGATTGAAACTCAACTGTATAATTATGAATTTTAGCAAAGTCTTTTAAGCTCAAAAGAAAGGTGTTAGATCTATTATGATTATATGACCGTAAATGGTGAAAGGTGTAATCCCACTTTTATATATCTTATTTCTGCAGAATATTACTCCCACATTAAATCTCTATATCCATGACATGTTTGTTTCTAAACATTCAGAGGCAAATAAAATTTCAAACAATGACGCCCTGAGCAACTTGAATGGCATAATAAAGTTAAACCGCCATTAGAAGACAAGGAACGTATTAGTATAGGGTCACATTTATGTCCTACTAGGCGTCATTATTATAAGGTTGTTAGCTTTTTTAACAAATAATGCTGATTTCAGTTTAGCTGGACAGGATATGATCGCAAGGACTGATTAATTGCGAACAAACAAAAAAACCAAATGGCTATACTCCATAAGAGCCGTATTACAAGACTACAAATCTACCCTCAGTTATATATGAATACAATAAAGAGGATGTAGAGTATATCGAAACGTGATTTTTACAAAACAATCTACGGACACAAATATCGGATTTGTTAAAGAAGTTTTTCCGACCTTGCGAGACACAAATGGGTAGTAAAGGTCGTTTAACATCTCGTTATGGTAGCAATCTAAGTAGCAGTTGGAATATACTTGCAGCTGTAGCAATTATTCAGAGAACAGGTACCGGTTCATGATATATCAATATACGAACTGAAGTCCTGATTGTCTATTTAGATAATAGAAGTTTTGTTAATCAAAAAGGAATCTGCACATGATTACTCGATTAATTCGGAGGACATATTGTCGAGATCGAAGCGAAAGCAATGCCGCAATCGCATTAACAGGTGCGCATCTTCCCGATGAGGAATTAATGAGACTTTAGTTTAATCTGAAGAGGTACGTAAAATTCATATTCGTCTTAGAACATAGTGAAGCAGCCTAACACATGTATTATGAGTAATGTATAATTAAGCATGAATTGTGGGAAATGAACAATTTTTTTTATATAATTTTAAGATTGAGCTAAAAAAAAAAGTGAAAAACTCTACCTTTGAAAATAAGTAAGTACCGTCAACATTTAAACACGTAAACGGGTATATATGCATATCCTCTCAGATTAAGATTGAAGCAGACAAGCATAAAAAGATGACGTGCCATCGTCGACATTTAATAAATGCCAAGTTCGATCGAACAGGTACAAGGACTGGTATAAACAAATATTTCAGATTTGATAATCTTCGTGTTTTCTGATAATAGACAATTGATGACAATTAAATAAACTCATCATAGATACAATACAAGGATTAAAATTTTGTATGCTAGGCGCGTTTCGTCTACAAAAGTCTCTACAGTGACGCTCGAATCAATAAAAGGTAAAAGACCAAATAAGATACGAAGTAGAAGATCATTGAGGACCCAAAATTTTTGAAAGGTTTTGCCAAATACCTCTAAATTATCTATTCCTGGGGTAGAATATCATTAGGTTATCAATTCAAATAAGGTAATATTTACAAATTAAACATTACGATACAGATATGAATTAACAGACTCAATGATTGCAACGTCTGTCAAGCATAACGCTTAGTTTAATGTTTTGGGAGGTTCATCGTAGACCAGCTTAAATGTGTCCTTCACAAAAGTTGAATGCACTTTTCAGTTTGTGGACAATTACGCATAGTCATGGTTACTTTGATTTTCCACAGGTAAAAATAAGAAACCCGTGTAATTTCGAAGTCAAGAGAGATCTATGACTACAAATAAAACCTTCAACAACTTTTCACGTCGTCTGCTATATGAAAGAAAATCTTACCCTTATCTCTATGTCCTCAATTGAATGGTTCGAACAAGTGTTTCAAGTTGAATATCTATATCTGTAATAATAGTATATATATATATATATTAAATGTTCATGTAATCATGCATTTATAGATTTAATACAACTATGAGTTTTCAAATAAAGTTTGTCAGTTTATTTTCGACTTGTGAGTTTGAATGTCCCTTTGGTATCTTTCGCACTATTTGCTTCAGATTTGACGTTGAAGTATCCTTAACATAATTATTGAATCGCACGAGCATCTCATTGTATCCTTTCCTGGAAGATTTATAAGCATGAGGCATGGAAGGTCCAAAAGGTTAAGGAACTCAGTGGACCTGACATAATGGAGATGGTATAAGGTAAGATAACATTCAATAGTTGGACGACGACCATTTCGGACAAAATCCGTACAATTATTGTAAATGACAAAGTATTAACACAAAACATGCATGTTAATGAATTAACCGTTAAAAAAGGTCTTACTTATTCATTGACATGGAACTAATCTGTTGTAAAGTAACAGAAGACTAAGTTGTAACAATTCGTTGCCCAATTACGTGTCTAAATTTCATATACACTGACCCACATGTAGGTCATAATGGTCACTTGTCAAGATAGGTGTCGAAAAACGACACTGATTGACGTTAGAGTATCAGCTATCATTCCGAGGACCTAAATCTTTAATTGTACAAGCAGATAACTGTCACAATTGTCCTGAACTAAATCAAGTCTTAAGGTAAATGTGTACGTTGTAGCCAGATAAGATATGACAGTGATGTCCTTAAACCTGTAATGTATTGATGGAAGCCCCGAAGTATTTGTTTTCTTTAATCTCCTATGAGGAGCTATTCATGCCTATTATTTGAAAGCATAATAACATTATGTTATTAAAATCGAATACTTACAAATACTTAATTATGTCATTAAATGTACAGCGAAATATAAATTAATATAGTTTATCCTGTTAATATAGTACAGTGATTTATTTAACGACTTATTTCGGTAAAAATACTAGTATCTTTATGAGCATCTTCTTAGAAAGGAACTGTTTCACTAACTTGTGTGTGTCTTTTTGTACACAAGAAACGACCTTGAAAAATAAATTCTCTAAGACTCGAGCCTTGTTAATGGAATTTAGGGGTACAGTTTTTTTTTTATTTTGAATTTTTTTATTATATGCTTTTGTTGAGATATGAATTACTAATACTTCGGAATTCTATATTTCCAATTCGTTTAAAGCAAATAAGATGTGTCCAAATTTTCATGAATAAATATTGCAATCCCCCTTTTCAAATATCAAGATTTTTGAAAAGCAACACATGAATGTTAAATCTGAACAATGCATCTTTAACCAAAGACAACAGCCGGCTAATTATAATGCGTCTTTGTCTAATGATAATGCACGCTTTTCGTAAAACCCATAGGCCTATACACGTGCATTTTTACAATGTGTACGTACATGTAATTTTCGATTAATAGGACATTGACCCTAATACGAGACAATTTGTATCCTTGATGCATTATCAGCAAACCCTGAGTAAATATTTATATTATAGGTTATCTTAATATAGATAGAATACGTTTCGAACTAATCTATAGGTGTGAACGGCGTTCCGATATAGACGGAATTCACACATTTCCCAGTTTGAGATGTATCTATTCATTTCTATTTGGTTCGGAGGTCAAAGTTGTTGTCTTTCCTCGGTTAACAGTCAAATCAGAGAACCGCTCCGACCTGAGTGTCCTCCTTATCCCAAAAGGGATTAATAGATCCATGTGCCTCCCCTTGTTCTATTATGTACGCTCGTTTTTCCGTGCGTTTGCAGTGCTATATAGACGAGACCTGACCGAGTGAGTCAATGACCTAGCAGGATTAACTGTGGAGAATTTAGAATGAATCAAACTGGTCCATTTATTTTGGGAACGGCCCCATAGTGCTTTAGATTCTCAAAGGTGGCGCATTAACTCCAGAAATAGACAAGTATGCGTCTCTTAACCTTGACATATCATGAGAACATGTCAATCGATATGCTAACACTCTCTAATATAAAAAAAAAATAAGGGCCTACCTGACAACCACATGGTCATCCTAAATTAATACACATTAGTCTTATATTAAATCTTGGAATCTCATTCCAGGGCTCTGGTTAAAATCTCGTTGACTGAAAGTCAGCTGATTGCACTTACAAACGTGATGTTGTATTAGTCACATTGTAACATCATCAGGGCTATTGATTAAGTAAGTACGCGTAATAAATTGATCTAGATTAAATCATTATTGAATATTTTCATCTACCTCTTCATTATGTAATGAAACCAGGTATCACGCGATCATGGCTTGCATTCGCTTAAAAAATGAACCTACGTACATTAACTATACAAACAGGAAATATGCATCGTTACAGAAAAACAGGCGTTCAAACTATGTGGGACTACGAGGGTTGTTCCACGTTGTAATATTCAGAATCGTTGGCCATTGACAAATGAAACGTCAATCCTTTTTATAGTCAGGGCATCAATTACTCATGTTTTCTGTATTTAACGAAGTTTACTAATCATATTAATTTATTTTTTGTATTCAAACTAAATTCAAAAACTAATATTACGCACGAATTATTTAAAAGACTCCACAACGATTAAAGAGGTTTCTTAATAAGTTATTTATGATTACTTCACACTTAACTTTGATTATTCATGCTTACTCGTGTCATTCAATTATACAATAACGTAACGGTCGACACAAGATTTGCTGCATAAGGAAAATGTCTTTATGAATCTCAATAAATCATTTTTTTTCCCAACGAGAATACAACTAACTACATGTACTATAGTTTAACAACTCCGTTTCGTTTTATCCTTGAATTTCTCAAATTAAACATGTAATGAACAACAGTACTAAATTATTCAAACTTCTCTGAGAAACTAATAATAGAATGAAATTTTGCTTGACTGCATTTTTCGCAAATCTTGGCAGAACACCCATCTTATTCTGCAGTTGCCGTTTTATAAATAAAACATGATTGTCCTTTGTAAATAATCTAATTTAATTTCACGAAGAATTATCACACAAATGAGAAATGTGACAGTTTTGTAAATTTGTAAAGAAAATAACAGGTCACAAGTTCATCATCTCTCATCCGTCTCCAAATTAATTTGAATAGTAAATGCTTACCAATCAAACACAAGTTTTATCTCCTGACTGACCGCTATGGAAGTTTTAAGTCGTGTACTATTCAAGAATACTTTAAAAGTAAATAACCGATTATAACCCACGTACATAAACAAACATTTATGCTTCAAAACCGACAGACCACTGAAGATTAAAAATTCTACACACAATTACATGCTAGTGTCGCCACTAATAATACGTTTCTTCATTTAAAATCTCCCAAGACGGTGTACCCGTAAATCTGTTAAAGGATAGTTTACAATTGATGAACAGCGTTTCTATTTTATTAATTTTTGTAATTTCATACTCAGAATTTGCCATATGCGCCTTTTGGAATTGCATTAGTTGTAGTTAAATGAAATAAAATTCTCCTTGACATTATGATACAAAAGTACAGTTATATAATTACGGAAATACAGACTGGTTGCCAATCTATTAAAGTTGATGCCATATGTGGACCAAAAAATCAATATTGATAAATTAGTAAACAAAATCGAATGCAATCGATTGACGTTATGTAATCAGTACCCGGAATTTCTGCTGACAATCAATAATTGTCAGTATATTTGAAAAGGAAGTAATTTATGCATGTTTGACCAAATTGTATTGTTATAAGTGGACAACAATACATACGGTGTAATCACACAAATTCCAATATTAAAATTGTGTTTTGATATCGTAGCCAGGATACAAAATTAATAAAATATATCAAATGAATTAATGTTAATCTATACCATCGGATAAAAGATCATTGTTTATTTTAATAAATTATTTGCGAAAACCTCCATTGAAATGTCTTCCTGTTACCTTGTGATAGCACGTTAAAAATCCGTCTCAGCGTGTCAGTCTTGTAAAAAGCAGGGTTAATATTCATATTATTTTAATGCGTTCTCGTCCTAATATATATATATGCATTTAATTTGCCACTGGACGTTAAATCATCATCATCGATTGTGAATAATGGGGTTTTAGTGTAAATATGTGTTTATTTGACCTAAATTCAGCTAAGCAAAAAATATACCAAGAACACACGTTTAAATGAAATTTACAAAACATTTGCCCGGTTGAAAGAACACAATATATGCTTACCTTGACTAATTGATCTTCAATATTTAATGACAATGTGTAAAATCTCGGAATAAAGACATTCTTCGTACTCTGCATCAGCTGATCAAGATAAAAATAGAACAATTGATCTATATTCACACCGAGGCACTTCCGACGGGAAATTCCTTCTTATTCATACCGCCCTTGTTCAAAAGATCAATGCTTACTAAATGGTACGTAGGTCGTCGTTTCCTAAAAAAAAAAATGAAAAAAAAGCAAAGCTACACGTATACAAAAGAAGGATTTCGCTTTGTCAACCAATTGTAAAATGTACAAACTTAAGAGATGATCATTGACCCTTATTTGATCTTATTTCTAGCGAGGTAAATGGGTCAAGTTGGGAGTCAAGGCCTCAGTGCAGTTCAAAGATCGCGATGCAGCATAAACAAGTATAACAAAAAAACCGAACTCCAAGGTAAATTAAAAAAAGGGGGGAGGGGGGTAAGTCCTTAAAAAACTAGCAAACAGAACGAATGAAAAACAACTGACATAATCCTAACTAAGTGCAGACATTTCCGAAGAAAATGGTGGGTTAAACCTGGGTTTATAGCTAGCTTGCGAGTTGATTGTTCATGGTCGATTTAAGTGTGTCCAAAGAGTTTTCAGCGTTTTAAATAAAGATGTAAAAGTCAAATGTTAAACCCCAAAAACTTATAAGTTTTACAAAATATATTTTAGCTGATTTCTTCAAATCTACACAAACAGATTTTTAGTGATGACTCCGTCAGTTGTTTGGTTTTTTTTTTTAAATCGGGAGCTTTCTTAATTTGATTAATTGATATTTGTATACATAACGCCAAGTGGCAAATATTTTATGCACATTCAGGATGAGAACAAATTAAAAATAATGAAGTAAGTATACTGTACACAAGTTCTGCATCGGTTAGGATGAAGGGTAAATCATTCGGCTGCCACCGGAAATGCATGGAGGGCATGTTAAACAAGTTCACATAAATGTGCATACTAACCTACAGACCCTTGATTGAGTTGCTGGCACTGCTCCTACACGATGCATCGTATTTAATGTCCCCATTCCGACCGGACGTGACAGCGTATCTATACATCCCGTATAGCCAAACGGACGTCCCACTTGATCGAGGTTTTTACTTCAGAACGTGAGAAGTACAGGGATGACCAAACTTCTATATCCCAGTCAGTCCCGTGGGGGTAAATCCAGAGAGCAAATCCAGGAAGTAGGCCTGCAGAAAGGGACGATAGCAATGAAGTACGAAAAGTTCGAACTGTCACTTGGAAGAGGGGGTATTTTTGACAGGGAACGAAATGATACTGTATTGCAACGGGTCCAAGAACCTACTCATCAGGGAGTTGTTGCTACGGTTCTTGCGTGCTGAAAGCGTCACTAACCGTACAAGAATCGTCGGATTTAACCTCCCCATTCTCACTGATCAGGTCTGAGTGTAGAATACGTACATCCCGCAAAGTCAAACGAACCCTTTGGCATGGGTTTTAGAGCTGGACTGGAGAAGCTCAGCTGGTGACCATATTTCTAAATCCCAATCCACCCCGTGAGATCATTTTTACACAGGATAAAAAAAAATATGATTACAAGATATTCATTATTATGAAAGATTATTTTTTTTGCAGTCGTATAAAACTATTTACTAGTATTGCAAAGATTTTTTTTCAGACAGTTACATACATTTCTGTTGTTTATAGCTGTTACCGTGATTTCCATCTATCATGTTATGTTGTTTTTCTCTGTTTTCTTTTCTTTTTTGATTTGGTCATTTTATTGGCCACATAATGGTATAACATTCTTGTCTATGCAAAATTGGAATATGTGAATTAATACGATGAAATGATGGTACTTTTCCAAGGTACACATTACATCAATACAACTAATTGTTACTATGCTAGTTAAATGTTTCATTATCGTGATCAAATCATGACAACCATGAGGGTTGACTTAGGAATAGATCATCCAAGGACTTCTCCCGTCTGGCAGTCGCTAAAGTGGAGTGTCTGTTTGACTGTTCGGGATGCATAAATACGCAGCATTAAATCGATGCATTATGTATGGCTATTGCCACGTTCTGTGGACGCTAGACAAACTTTGAAACAACACTATGGGGGATCGTAGCCGGCCTGTTGCAAGGCATAATTTTTGGCCCTATTTCTAACATACCCTCATTTTCCAGTGGCAGTTCAAATTTCTTATCCTTCATCACGGTTTTCCTACCTTGCAGAACCTTCCATTAGAACATATTAAATACTTAATTTGTATTTTCCCTGTATATGCATTGAATGTATGTCTCTAGACGTCAATCAATCAAATAGGGAAAGCTACTGATCAAAATAAAAATAGCTGAATCATGATGGCCTCTAAAAATGTCTTGGTACAAATTTTGTGATATTCAAGTAAACATCATATGTTTTGTGACTTTATACGTTTAGGGGTTTTGTCAAGATACATGGATTGATTATAACTAGATGCAATAGTAAGTTTGTCTCATATGAGTTAAGGAACATGTCGACGAATAGATGATTCACTTTTGGTTCCCATAGGAATGCCGACAGTCTGCTGAAAAACATTTTCATCAAACGTAACAAATATGTGGCAATAAAATAATCAGTTTCAGTTTGTTTTTTTTCTCTTTATCTTTCGTTAATTTCTTTTTCTCTGTCAAAAATGTATTGAGGCAGTGGCTCACTGCCTCAATGGAGACCACGCTACCACTGATACGGCAAAAACTTCAGTAGCGAAAGTCTATCTTATACCTTTCATTCTATTGTTTCCAGTATTTTTTTTTTATTAAGAAGTGCTGTAAAAGAAAATACTGGCCGGTATGTGGTGTGGAACATGGCTTAAGCTGTCAATAGCTTAATTCAGACGAGGTCTTTGTCCTAGAGCGACACTGCAGTTGCCAATAATATTTACAAATTCAAATTCATGTCCGCATAACACTACATTCTACATGTGC